GCTGGGGCCGCTGGGGAGGCAGCCGCTCCTGCCTCAGCCACTTACTTGCAGGTTCACCAGGTGGCCCTGGGCTCGGGCATCCAGACTCGGGCTCGAGGGCGGCAGGAGAGGGGCGCAGGCAGGCCCGGCCCTGGGAGCCGGCAGGGCGGGGGTCTGTGGGGCCAGTGGAGGCCACTGTGCCCTCTGCCCGGAGGCGCCTGGCTGCCTGGTCCTGGGGGTGTCTTAGGTGTCAGTGTGCCTGGATTAAGGGGTTCCTAGAGAACTGGTAAAGCATAACGTTAGGATGTGTCCGTGAGCGTGTTTCCAGAGATTATCGCGTGAGTCTAAGGGGACTAGGTGGGGAAGATCTGCCCTCAACATGGGCAGACACCATCCCGCGTCACTGTTGCTAATTTTGGTAGAGACGGGCTCTCGTTCTTGCTCAGGCTGGTCTCAAACTCCTGAGCTCAAGTGATCCTCCCGCCTCGGCCTCCCAAGTAGCTGGGACTACAGACATGCACCACTAGGCCCTGCTCATTTTCTCTTTTTGTAGAGATGGGGGGGTGTGTCTCACTCGTGCTCAGGCTGGTCTCAAACTCCTGACCTCAAGTGATCCTTCTGCCTTGGCTTCCCAGGGTGCTAGGGTTAGAGTTGTGAGCCACAGCACATTGCCAGATTTTTGTGTGTTGATTTTATATCCTGCAACTTTACTGAATTTATCCGTTCTGAGTTTTTTGGTAGAGTCTTTATATTTTTCTATATATAAGGTCATTTTTTTTTTTTTTTTACAAACAGGGACAATTTGACTTCCTCCTTTCCAATTTGGATGCCTTTTATTTCTTTCTCTTGCCTAATTTCTCTGGCTAGGACGTCCAGTACTATGTGGATTAAAGGGACGAGAGAGGACATCCTTGTCTTGTTCCAATTTTTTGTGGAAAACCTTTCAGCTTTTTCATGTTCAGTAAGATGATAGTTGTGGGTTTACATATAGAGCTTTTATTACATTGAAGTACTTTCTTTCTATACATAATTAATTAAGAGTTTTTAATCATGATGTGGGCTGGGGGTGGTGGCTCACTCCTGTAATCCTAGCACTCTGGGAGGCGTAGGCGGGCAGATTGCTCAAGGTCAGGAGTTCGAAACTAGCCTGAGTAAGAGTGAGATCCTGTCCCTACTAAAAATAGAAACAAATTAGCTGGACAACTAATGATATATAGAAAAAATTAGCTGGGCATGGTGGCGCATGCCTGTAGGCCCAGCTACTCGGTAGGCTAAGGCAGAAGGATTCCTTGAGCCCAGTAGTTTGAGGTTGCTGTGAGCTAGGCTGATGCCACGCCACTCTAGCCCGAGAAACAGAGTGAGACTCTGTCTCAAAAAAAAAAGAGTTTTTATCATGAAGCAATGTTGAATTTTATCAAAGGCTTTTTCTGCATCTATTGAGATGCTCATATGGTTTTTGTCCTTCACTCTACTGATGTGATGTATGATGTTTACTGATTTCCATATGTCGAACCATCCTTGCATTCCTGGGATAAACCACACTGGATTGTACTGTATTATCTTTCTTCTGTGCTGTTGGATTGGGTTTGCTTGTCTTTTGTCGAGGATTTCTGCATCTGTGTTCATCAGGGATACTGACCTGTTGTTTTCCTTTTTTGTTTTGTCCTTGCCTAGTTTTTGTATCAGGGTTATGCTGGGCTGGTAGAATAAGTTGAGAAGAATTCCTTCCACTTCAATTTTTTTGAATTGTTCGAGAAGAATTTATATTAATTCTTCTTTAAAGTTTTGGTCAAATGCGAAACCATCCAGTCCTGGACTTTTCTTTGTTGGAAGACTGTTTATTACTGACTCAATCTCATTACTTGTTATTGGCCAGTATGGGCTACTTCTTCTTGGTTCAATCTTGGTAGGTTGTATGTGTCCAAAAATTCATCTATTTCCTCTGGATGTTTTAATGTATTGGTATACAGTTGTTTGTAGTAGTCTCTGATGGTCCTTTGTATTTCTGTGGTATCCATTTCTGATTCTGTTTATTTGGGTCTTCTCTCTTTGTTTCTTAGTCTAGCTGATGATTTATTGATTTAGTTTATATTTGCACAAAACCAATGTATTGTTTTGTTGAACTTTCGTATTTTTTTAGTCTTAATTTTGTTTATTTTTGCTGTGACCTATATTACTTCTTTTCTCCTACTAAATTTGGGTTTGGTTTGTTCTTGCTTTCTAGTTCCTTAAGGTGCATTGTTAAGTTGTTTGAAATCTTTCTAGTTTTTTGAGGTGGGCATTTATTGCTATAACTTGCCTGTTACTACTGCTTTTTCTGTATCCCATAGGTTTTGGTATATTGTATTTCTATTTTAATTTGTTTGAAGGAATTTTAAATTTTGTTTGTAAGTTCTTCCTTCACCCATTGGTTGTTCAGGAGCATGTTTTTAAATTTTCCTATATTTGTATAGTTTCAAATGTTCCTCTTGTTATTGATGTCTAGTTTTATTCCATTGTGGTTAGATAAGATACTTGATATGATTTAAATTAAAAAATTTTTTTGAGACTTGTTTTGTGTGCTCACATATGGCCAATCCTGGAGAATGTTTCATGTGTTGATTTTAAAAAAAAAAAGTGTATTCTGCAGCTGTTGGGTGTAATGTTGTGTTAGGTCCATTTGGTCTATGGTGCAGTTTCAATTTGGTATTTCTCTGTTGATTTTTTTGTCTAGATGATCTACCCAATGTTGAGAGTAGGGTGTTGAAGTCCCCAACTATTATTATACTGAGGTCCAGCTCTCTCTTTAGATCTAATATATTTGCCTTATATATCTGGATGCTCTGCTGCTGGGTGCGTATATATTTGCAATTGTTATATTCCCTTGCTGAATTGGTCCCTTTATTATTAGGTAATGTCTTTGTCTCTTTTTACAGTTTTTGAAGTTTCTTTCGTTTATATGTTTATAGCTATTCCTACTCACTTTTGGTTTGCATTTGCATGGAATATCTTTTTCCATCCCTTCACTTTCAGTCTGTGTGTGTCTTTACAGGTGAGGTGAGTTTCTTGTAGGCAGCATGTAATTTTGTCTTATTTTTTAAATTTATTCAGCCAGTCTATGTCTTTTAAATGGGGGAGTTTAATGCATTTACCTTGAAGGTTATGGCTGATAGGTGAGGACTGCCATTTTATTGGTTGTTTTCTGGTTTATTTTTTTGTATATTTTTTGTTTCTTACTTGCTCTCTTATTTATTTTTATAATTGTGTGGTTTTCTATAGTGGTAAGGTTTGCTTTCTTTCTCATTCTCCTTTGTGTATTGGCTCTACCAGTGTGTGTTTTATACATTTTCATGTTTTCATGATGGCGGTTATCACCTTTCTATTTCCAGATATAAGCCTCTGTTGAGAATTTCTTGTAAGCCTGGTCTAGTGGTGAAAAAGATAAAGAGGCAGAAAGGGATGCCAACTTCTGAGTATCCGTAGGCAGGGCGAGGAGTTACGCCAAGAACTCCAGTAAGCCAGCCCTAGACTGTTCTGTCCTTCTTGCCAATGGCCCTGTCTCTGAGCCAGTCACTGGAGCCAGGAGAAGTACCAGGTTCTGACTGGGTTAGGCCTGTCAGGGCTGTCCCTCAGCTGGGCATGGTGGGAGGCAGCAAGCTTCGAATCCCCAGTTGATATGAAATATCTGCTGCCCAGAGAAGTAACCGTGGCTGTGTGTTACAACCTTCTCCAGCTTTCATTTTTTACCTGTAATGTTTTTTTTGTTTGTTTGTGTGTATGTATATAAGTAGAAGTTTAGAGGATTAATTGTCAATTCTGAGCCCTGTGAATAAACTTCGTTAATTCCTGAGCGCTTATATGCCCAGGCACTTGGGCTTCAAAGAGAAATAAGGGCAGCGTGTTCCAGAACTTTCACGGGAGGAAAAAGGCAGTGATGAAACTGGGTGACAGGAGAGGGAGGAGGACAGGGATTTGGGGAGCAAGTACGCAGGGCAGGGGACTAGCCAGGGCAGGCCTAGGGCCATGGAAAAGACTCTCTGTGGGTGAGGCTGAGAGAAGTTTCTATATGGAAAACCAGACTTGAAATGGTACCGTCGGGAGCATGTGTCAGAGTGGTGGGTCATCGAGACCCAGATTTTGAAAACAGGGAGCCCTTGGAGGGTGTCTAAGTCCATTTTGTGTTTCTATAAAAGAATACCTGGGACTGGGGAATTTGTAAGGAGGTCTATTTAGCTCGGTTCTACAGGGTGAGCAGTTCAAGTGCATGGCCCCGGCTCCTGGGAAGAGCTTCTGTGCAGCCTCACGACATGGCAGAGAAGGTCAGAGGGGAAGTGGACACGTGGAAAGAGGAAAACCTGAGCGGTGTCCTGGCTTTATAACCCCCGCTCTCAAGGGAACTAACCCAGGCTACGGGGGTCTGCCCCAGGCCCCACCTCCCAACACTGCCACCTTGGAGCTCAGATTTCAGCACGAGCTTTGGTGGGAACAGACAGGCTATGTCTAACGCATAGCAAGGGTGAGGTTGGGGGGCTCCTGGATCAGGTGCTCAGTGCTGTTGGGTGTCAGCCCTGAACGTGCGTGATTCTGGAGGCAGACTCCTGGGCAGACGGTGCTGAACAAGAGAAGTGTCCGGAGAGCCCTGGGTTGCCGCTGGGAGAGGCACCCGCTCCGGAGAGAATGGTAGGAGCTTTTAAGGTAGAGGAGGACGGCGTGGCCGGCTCCCTTTGAGAGCCGTGGAGTCTGAGGTGCCACCGACGTCCCTGGACAGCGTCCAGGTGAATATGCTGATGTGGACGTTGTCAGGGAGGGGTTGGACATTCGGCCTGCACCCTGCCTCTGTCTGACTTGCCCTCGTTGTGGGGGGCTGGGGTGCCTGGCCCCTTTCTGCCCACCTGAAGAAGAAACCAGGCCCTGCTCAGGTCAGGGGGCGCAGGAAGGACCTCGGAGGGAGGAGCAGGCTCGCCCCTCACACGCGCGTGGGGAGGGCCGTTCCCTGTGCTGCTCCCTGGCCGAGGCCTGACCCTTCCTTTGTCTGCTTGCAGATCCCGGGCGCAGTGATGCTGCAGCGGCCCCGGAGGGCGGCTTGGAGTGTGGGGAGAAGGCGAAGGAGGAAGGGAGCCCTTGCCTGACCCCAGGCTCAGGTGATTGTCCAGAAAGCCCAGACGAGCCCTGTTCCGAAGCCCCTTGGACTGTCCAGCAGGTGAGTGTGCCGCCCCGCCTCCCCGTTCCCTGTTCTCGCTCTGCACGGAGCTGCCTCCTGGTGCAGTTTCATCCGTGGCTGAGCAAGGTGGGCGCTGCGTCTCCCTTGCTGGCCCCTGTGTCCCCACGGCGTCCTCTCCAGGGCAGCCTTGCTGCACAGCTGGCCCCCGCAATGCCACTGCTGAACCCCGCCCTCTGGCCAGAGCAGAGCGGCCCCTTCTGCGCCTGACGAGTCCGTCGCCAGAGTCTCTGGGTTCCAGGCCTCTGGAGTCCCCGCCTTCCCCGTCCCTGCACAGGCCCCGACACTGTGCATTTCCCGGAAGCCGTGGCTGGGGGCGGGGCCTGAGCTTCAGTCACACGTGTGTCCCCCCGTTCTCTGGGTGTGTTCCCGTCCAGGGTGCAAGCCCAGAGGTGCCCCACAGCTCTCTCTGGGTGCAGGGCGCGTGCTCGGGACACGCGCTGGCTGGTGGGATGCTCTTCCTGGGGGGGCGGCTGAGCCCTCTTCTGTCTCCCTCCGGCCTCCGACAGCCCCGTAGACGAGTCAGACCCCTAGAGGATGCGTCCCCAGGGCGGGAACTGGTGGAAGCAATAGGGAGGCCTCCCAGGGCGCATCCTAGACGTGTTCAGGGAGCGTGATGAGAAGAGAAGGGCTGCGGTGCCCACGCTCAGCCCTGTGCGGACCCGGCTGGCTGTGTCTGGCTCCCCGGTGTCCTGCTGGGCACTGGACAGTGGAAGTTTCCTTTCCTTCCGGGTGGGGGCTGGTGTTCCATCTGTTGCTCCTTGTGTGTGGTGCCCCGTGGCGGGGCTGGGGTAGCCGTGGTGCTGCGGGCAGTGCTGTCCGTGGGGTGCGCGTGTGCACGTGCATGTGCACTTGAGTCGTTGCCTTGGAGAGTCATCCCTTCCAGAGCGGGGACAGCCAGCCCCGAGTCTGGACCACCTGGGGTAAAGTTTGGGTAAACTCTTTTTTATACCTAACTGGGAGCTCTCAGGGCAGGAACGTGCCTAAGGGGAGGGTGTTTCTTGAAAATGCTAAAGGCCACCTGCAGCAGATCACATCTGGGGCCAACAGTAAACGTGCCAAAAGCCTGGGAGGAAAAGCTGGGCAGAGGGTTACCTGGGAGGATAAGATTTCTGGAAGTTCCCATGTTCAACGGGAGGCCGAAGAAATGCCCGAGGAGGGATGTGTTCTCAGAAGAGACCTGAGGGACCTACGCCATCGTCACCGGACCGTCAGGGGCGGTGCAGGCCAGAGGCGAAGGCTGAGGCAGAGCTGCCCCAGCCGGGGGCAGGGGGGCTGGAGGAGGCCCCAGCACAGGGCCCCTCTGCACAGACTGGGAGAGTACCATTTTTCCTTTTGTGGCTCCCGGTGTTTAAGGAAATCTCTGTCACACCACTAACTGGCAACTAAAGAAACAGACTAAAGAAACAGAGACTGTGGAGACCACATCCAGCAAAGAATAGCCTTTCCTAGTCCTGTCGGCTCATGCCTGTAATCCCAGCACTCTGGGAGGCCAAGTGGAGGATCACTTGGGGCCAGGAGTTCAAGAGCAGCCTGGGCAACATAGTGAGACCTCATCTCTACAAAAAGTTTAATAAAAAGAATTAGCTGGGTCTGGTGGCTCCTGTAGTCCCAGCTACTCAGGAGGCTCCCTTGAGCCTAGGAGTGGGAGGCTGCCGTGAGCTATGATGATGCCACCGCACTCCAGCCTCGGCAACAGAGCAAGACCCTGGCTCTTGAAAAATAAGAACAAATAGCTTGTGTACGAATGTCCATAGCTGCATTACTCACAGTAGCCAAAAGGTGAAGCAACCCAGGTGTCCCTCAGCAGACGGGTGGATAAACAAAACGTGGTCTGCACACACGGCGGAGCATCATTCAGCCGTAGAAGGGAGCGTGGGGTGACACAGGCCACAGTGCGTGGACCTCAGACGTGGTGCTCAGTGAAAGGAGGTGGCTGCAGATGGCCTCGTCCCGTAGGATCCTGTTTGTGTGGACGTGCAGAGTGGACAAACCATGGGGACAGGCGGTAGTCAGTGGTGTCCAGGGGCTGGGAGGAGGGGACAGGGAGTCACTGGCTCATGGGCACGGGGTTTCCTCCTGGGGTGACGAAAGCGGGAGCCACAAGAGCTGGTGGCTGCACAATGCTGTGATGTGCTCACTGCCACTGAGCTGTGTACTGCAAAGCGGTTCCTTCTGCGGTATGTGATTGTCACCTTGGTATAACCGTGCTCAGTACCATTGTCACGGCAGGGGTTTGTACAAAAATGCCTAAGTGTGCACACACGAAAGACATCTGGAGGGAAGTGTGCAGTGCCCGCCGATGGCGCTGTCTCCGGTGATTGGCTTATGGGGGCTTTTACGTGTGTTCCCAACCGCTCGGCGAGCCTGTGCAGCTCAGTCCAGGGGTGGCCTGTGCGTTCTAGAGCGAGGCTCCTCCGCACAGACGCCGTGTTCTGAGGGTGGGGGGTGAGGGCACCAGGGGACCAGGGGAGGTGTCCCTGCAGCTGAGGCAGTGAGCTGGTGGCCAGCTCGTCACCTGGTGCGGAGTGGGGAGGTCCCCACCCAGCAGTCGTGGAGTGGGTGGAAAGTGCAGACAGTAGGGAGGTCCCGCCCCTCCTGTCACCTGGGATGACCGTCCTCCACCTGGCCTCTTCTCTGGTGGCCCTCGGATGCCGACCGGGAGCCCTTTGCTGACTCTTGCCCCCTCTTGAGGGGCTCGTGGGCTTGCGCCTCTGAGGCGAGGGCAGCGCAGACTGCGTGGAGCCTGGAGCGAGGGTGGAGCTTCCCTCCTGTGGCTTCCCTCTGGGCTGCTGGACCTCTGGAGCTGCCTGGCGGGGCGGGAGGTGCTGGGGGACGTGCCCGCCGAGGACCCCGCCTGCCTGTGTCGGCCTCTGGGGGTCCTGGAGGCCTGGCCTGCTCTTCTCGGGTGTATCTTTTCTGAGCACTAGCCTCAGCGTTGGGACGGCGGCCCCAGGGAGCCGGGAGCCCAGTTGGCCTGCACGGGGGCGGGGAGCCTACTTGGTGGGTGGCGACCTGGGTGCAGGGCAGTTCTCCCACTCGGATTCAGATTTGCTCTGCCTGCAGGAGCCCTTGCTGCGTCCCCCTGCAGCCTCCTGCCTGTGGGCCCTGGACTCCCGGGGCTGCTGAGTGTGGCTGGGTCCCCAGGAGGGGGCGCCCTGCCTGCGCCTTCCTGAGAGGAGGCGGCACCTTTTGCCATGGCCAGGCCCGGGCGGCCCTGCTCCGTCTGGAGGGGCGGCGTCTCAACAGGGAGTTGCGCCCGAGGTTTTTGCAGATGCTGCGGACGACACCTCTGGTGAGTTGGACGCTGCTGATTCCGTTCCCAGCAAACAAAGAAAGAAGGACGCAGCCCCGTTCGAGGTCACCGAGCTGTGTTCTGCAGACTCAGAGCAGGCAGTCTGCACAAATAGCCAGACTCGCTGCCTCCGGGCAAGGTGTGGGCCGAGCCCCTGCACCTGCCGTCCCTAGTCCCTTACCCTGGGAGGCTGCTGGGGAACAGACGTCCTCGGTCACACCTGCACTGGTCTGTGACCCGAGACGTCCTGCCGATGTCACGTGTCAGCTCTCTTGTGCATGTCTTCCCTGCCACTCCCTGCCACCCATCACATCATTTGTCGTGAAACTCTCCCCTTTGGCCTCTGGCTCGTCTCTCCCAGCTGCCGCCGAGTGGGCAACGCAGCGGTCCTTGTCACGGCAGGTGGCAGCAGGCTGGGGCCAGGCGGGCGGCGTGGAGCTCCGCTCGCTTGGGCTGTCGCGGGCGCCGGGCTCCATGTAGTCTCTAGTTTCTGGGAGTTGAGAGCCCGACCTGCTCTGTGGAACTTAGCAGCATTGCAGGGCTCTCTGACGATGCCAAGACGAATCTCGCTAATGCGTGCAGTGAAAGCGCTTTTGCTTGTGAGGGGCGCAAGGAAGCTCTGTCACTGAAGAGCCACGCACGGGAGGTCTGTCACTTTTCACAGGCGGTGCTGGGCGCTGACGTCTTTCCTGAGTAAGACGGTCCTTTGTCACGAGCACCTGCTACCTGCTGGTGCTGGGCGCCAGGGGTCGGGGAAGGCCCGAGAGCCAGGCGTGTTCTCTATGGCCCGCTCGGCCGTGAGCTCGCCGAGGTGGCACTTGGTGAAACCGGCCGCCGTCGACACGGGGCTGCGCTGGCCCAGGGAGGAAACATGGTGGGGCACGGGGCCGTTCTCGGTAGCAGCGGGGATTTCAGCACCAGCGGGCCGGGCAAAGGCCTGGTGTGGGGGTGCGAGAGCCCCGCAGAGGCGCTTTCCTGAGGGGGCAACCGGGGGCTTCATGCCGCGAGGACGTCGGTGCTCACCCAGGGCCGTGCGCTCCGTGGACAGTCGATGAGCCAAGCAGTAGAGCTTCTGTTTTTATGGAAGTTGACAAAAGAGATACTAGAGTCTATCCGAGCTGTAAATCGTGAGAAAGAAGAAAAATGCACAGGAGAGTGACAGAAGCCCATCTGCCCTCCAAGTGGCTGAGGACGGGAGATTCGGGGGCCGCTTCCTGGGTGGGCTGTGCTTGCTGTCTCCAGGTGAACCCGAGACCTGCTGTGTGGCGGTGACAGTGGGCACAGCTCGCGGTGGCCCCTACATGTGCTGGGTGGCTTTCGGAGGCTCTTGGCATGCTTTGCTCCTCTGGCCACCCTCATGATGGCCCTGTGACATAGCGACACCGGTTATCTCCGTTTTGCAGGTGGGGAAACTGAGGCACATGGGTGGCTCAGTATCCACTGGGGTCACGCAGCTGGTGTGGTGTGTCATGAGCTGGGTGGGGACTCAGGCAGGCCCTCTGGCACCAGCCCCCTGCCTCGGTCCTGCCGTCCGGCAGGGCACGAGGCAGCCGGAGGGCGGGAATGGTAGGATCGCCTCTTGGAGGCTCAGCTGACTTGGGGCCTCCTCTCGAGGCGAGGTCGCCGGCACCCGCAGCGGAAGCCCGTGCAGCGTCTGCCTGTTTCCGGAGGGCCTCTGGCTTCCTCCTCACCGCTGGCTGGCGCCGGGCCCGTCCCAGACTCTGCTCCGGGCGCTTCCTCGCCGCCACGTTCATGTTGGTAATGGCTTTACCTGCACGCCAGCAACCTGTGTCGTCTCAGCTTTACGCACAGGGAAACGAGTTCGTCAGGGTGAGCCAGGCCAGGGCCCGCACGCTCTGCCAGGAGACGGTTCCAGAACAGGCTCTGGGTGCCAGCTCGCTAGAAGGGGTGCTGGTGAGATGCCGGGGAAGGTGACGCTGCTCTTGGCCCAGCCTCCCCCTGCGTCCGTCCAGCCCTGGTTAGCAGCAGCTGCCACCATGGCCTCTGCAGGCATTGTGACTCTTGTGGCCCTGCCTGCCCTCACCAGTGCTGGGCTCTGCCATGTGCCCTGTCTGTGTGGCTGGCCCATCCCAGCCCGGATTCCTGGACCACCTGCTGAGGGATGTTCCCTCTTCCCTTTCAGCACTGTGTGTGGGGCCGGTGCCCTCTGCATGTTGTCCCCCACCCTTGGCCTCCCACCTGTCTGCTGCACCCTCTTTACGGCCCCAGCCTGGACCCCTGTAGCAGCCTGAGCCCGAGCCCCCCACGCCCATCACCCTCCCTCAGCCCACTAGTGCCAGTGTTCTGCTGGACTTGCCGCCCGGGGTCAGAACTGCCCCCTCGGGTCTTGTTGGCACCAGATGCTGCCGGGACTGGGGCCACCGGCTGTCTGGACTTGAGGCTGTCTGGCTGTCAGAGCCACCCAGCCCGATCCTGTCTGTAACCCTGACCCCGCCCACTCGCCTCCCTAGCTGGCCCCTTGTTGGCCGGCCCTCCTGGTGTCCTCAGCAGCTTTTCCAAACTTCAGCTTCACCAACTCATTTGAAGCCCCTGATTTAGAATCTGCCTTCACTGGCGGGCGAGTCTCCCCTCTGCACCAACGTGCACGAAATGTGCCGTCTAAGGGGACAGGACGGGTGCTCCCAGACGTGTGGGGGTGGGTGGCCTGGGTGTGGGGGCAGGGACACAGGCCGAGGGCGGCTGGAGCTGAGCTGGGGCTGTGCACAGGGAGCTGGTTGCCTCCGAGCTTAGCGCGCAGGAACGCCGAGGTCCTGGGCCCGGAGCATGCGCTGCCCGGCCTCCCCAGCCCACCTGGCCAGTTCAGCCCTGGCCAGCTTCATGCCCTAGCCTGGTGGGCATGCGTTCCCCTCCTAGGGGCCACAAGGGGCTGGCTGTTGGCTGGGGGCTCCTGGAGTGTCAGTGACGGGCCCCTGCGGTGTGTCCTCGTCCCTGCCCTGCCAGCTGCTGCAGAGAGGGCGTATGGGCCCCGGGGCGCCTGTCCCTGGGTGCTGTTCTGCCGTTTCCCTTTCCCAGACGATCAAACCCCAGGCGTGGGGTGTGGGACGGTGCAGGGTCACGCCCGGCTGCCAGCCAGTGTGGCGGGGCCCGTCATGCGCAGCTGGGTCTCAGGGCCTTTATGAGTCACTTGCACGTAGTGACACGATCCATGCGTGCTCCGGAGCAGCGTCCCCGGGAAACGGGAGCATCAGCCCCCCTTGGGGTCTGGGGTCCCCACACCCCCTCATAAGCTCCATTGCTGATTCCTGCCCCAGGCCCTGGCGCTCCTGCCCAGAGTGCAGGGAGGAGCCACTCAGACTCCGGTTCGCCTTGCGGCCTCCCCTCCCCCCTTGAGTTGTGGCGCACAGAGTCTTTGCCTAGCACAGCACGGAGAGCCGCCGTGCACCCGGCCAGCAAGGGTCCCGCCCAGCAAGGATCCTGCCCAGTGGGGCCCTCGGCGCTGCTCCTGGGGTCCGAGTGTGTGGCTTGCGCAGCATGGGCACTGGTCCTTTCCTTACCTTTCTTTTTTTTTGAGACAGAGTCTCACTCTGTTGCCCGGCTGGAGAGCCGTGGCATCAGCCTAGCTCACAGCAACCTCAAACTCCTGGGCTCAAGTGATCCTCCTGCCTCAGCCTCCCGAGTAGCTGGGACTACAGGCATGTACCACCACGCCCGGCTAATTTTTTCTATATGTTTTTAGTTGGCCAATTAATTTCTTTCTATTTTTAGTAGAGACGTGGTCTCGCTTTTGCTCAGGCTGGTCTCGAACTCCTGAGCTCAAACAATCCGCTGGCCTCGGCCTCCCAGAGTGCTAGGATTATAGGTGTGAGCCACTGTGTCCGGCCCCTTTCCTTTTTTAATTTCATTCTTTCCAGTGAAGAACTTGCAGACTCGATAGATGCAAGGTGGTTTGGTCGAGCTAAGCTAGATGGACTTGAAGAGTTGAAGAGAAAGTTGGAGGAAACATTGGCTGGAGCGTAGTAACTCTAAGAAATAAAACGAGTATCTCCCTTTCTGTTTAGAGCAAAAAGAAGAAAAGGAAGAATGCTCAGAAGACTTCCGCTTCTGCGGGGCTTGAGTCCTTGCCCCTGTCTCCTTCCAGCCCCCAGAGTCTGAACTTGCCTTCAAACCCTGGGTCCCAGGATGCAGCCCGGCCCCAAGGCCAAACTCGGCAGGGTAGTCAGACCGGCGAGACTGGCAAGACGCCGCTGGAGGGTGACAGCCCCTCTGCACACGCCCACGGGGAGGTTGGTGACAGCCCCCCGCAGGGTCAGGCTGCGGCAGGACCAGGAGCAGCCACGGGAGGCTCAGCTCAGGGCAGCCCGTCACCCCAGGGCCAATCAGAAGGGAAGGATCAGCACCCCAGCCTCCCTGTGGGGGGATCCCAGGAGGGGGCCAGCCCTACCGCCACCGCTTGTGAAGGCCGCCCTGGGGCTCAAGATGCTGCCCCCGGGCTCCTGCTGTCTGAGTCAGAAGCCTGCAGCTCTGAGTCCGGGACAGAGCAGCAGACCTCCAGCCAGCAGGCGAGGGACCCAGCCTCTGGGGTGAGTTGTCAGGGAGTGGTGCCCAGGGCTGCCCTGGACACCTCTGCTGTGCTGGGCAGCCCAGGCGCCGCTTCCCTCCCTGGGAGGGTGTCCTTGGGGTCTTACTCCCAGGGTGGGGGCGTGGACCGGACTGGACTCCCTCTGCACCCAGGGTGCCGCTCCGCTCGTGGCAGATGCAGACCCATAAGCCATTGAGTTCGAGTCTCCCTGGTCCATCTCGTCACCTTGGCTCTGATGCTTTGGGGTCTGTGTTCCTTCCAGGCAAGTGATGCTACGGCTGAGCCAGCTGATCCGGTTGAAGGAGACAGGAAGGAAGTGAAAGACAAGGCTCCAAAGACGAAACAGCCACCAGCAACCACGCCTGCTTCAAAAAGAGAATGCCAGGTGAGCTTGTCCTTCCTGCCTAGCTGCACCTGTGGTGCCTTCTTGCTGCCCATCTTTCCTTGGATCACTCCGGGAATATTTATTAGGTGCTAGGGATACAGTGGGAATGAGAGCAGGCCCCTGCCCTCATGGAGCTCACAGTCTAGAAAAGAGAAAGACAGAAAACTAAGCCAGGCAGTGAGAAGTGCCATGAGAGAAGGAGGGTGAGGGGAGGTGCTGGGCAGGCACAGGGGGACGTGCCCGCATCGCAGGCGTGGATGGGCAAGGCCTCCCTGAGGAGGGAGTGAGAGGCGAGCCATGGGGACGTCTGGGGTGTCCCAGTCCAAGGGGATGGCGTGTGCAAAGGCCCTGGCGTAGAGTGTGGTGGGCCTGTTCCCAGAGCAGCAAGGAAGCTGCCGCGCCCAGGAGGAGAGACCATGGATGAGGTTGGGGACAGGCGCTCTTGGTGGCCGTGGTCAGTGGGCCAAAGGCACGGAAGGCCCCGAGCAGGGAAGGGAAGTGGCCACTCTGGCTGCTGTGAGAAGCGTCCGCTGTCGGGGCCACCGTGGAAGCTGGCCGTGACGGTCGGGGCTGCGTGCTCGTTCCAGGAGGCCGAGACCAAGGACGAGGCGGCCGTTGCTGGGGAGAACGCTGCTGAGAAGGAGCGCGGGCAGGGGGGAGGCCCGAAGGAGCCAGAAGGGAACAGCAGAGGCTGTGCCGCGGCTGCGAAGAGCGAGAAGGAGCAGAGCCACCAGAGCGCCATCCCGCAGGAAGTCACGGCCAGGTTGGGTGTGGCCCCTGGCGGGGGAGGTGGCAGCCTGAGGAGCCAGTGCCCTCTGGTCGGGGGGCTTAGCTCCGTGGGAAAGGGGACTGCGCAGGAGGTGGGCGGGGAGGGGCACCTGTCCCAACTGCTGTCTGCCCACAGTCCCTGGAGTCCCAGAGCCTTAGGGAGCTGGGGGGCTGTCACCACCCAGACCCTGACTGGTGCCTCCCGCGCTGCCCCCAGCACTCCAGAGGGGGGCAGGGTCGGCCACTGTGTGCCGCCTTCCTCTTCCTCCGTTTCAGAGGGACAGGAGAGAGGACCCACGCGGTGGGCAGGGTGGGATGTGCACTGGATTCTAGGGTGCGTGTGCACTCGGATGGGTGGGCGGGTTCTGCAACGACCAGATTCCTCCTTGGCTTTCCCGCAGCCCGCTGAGCCCCGGAGAAGGCGTCACGGTGTACTTCCACGCCATCCTCTCCAAACACTTTGATTTCAACCCCGACCGCCATACGTTGTTTGTCCGCGGGGGAGGGGAGCTTGGGCAGCCGCAATGGAGCAGGCGCGTCTGCGAGCTGCACTGCACCAGGTGAGCGCCCCGCGGGCAAGACGAAATCTCCCTGGCCGTGCCTTTCCGTGACATGTTTCCTCGTGGCCCTTTTTAACCATGTCTTGTTCTAGAAGCCTCCTGGTGGTCAGCATCGGTTTGCACCTTTGGGTCTGCACTGCATGCTGTGTTTGAGGACTGCGATTTCCGGCGTAGGATTTTGGGGTAACTGGCTGAACCCCGTTCTTCACAGGCACCTGCCCGAGGAGGGCTGGCTGGTCGAGGGCAGCGCCGTCATTTCCAGGCGGCACCTGGACACACCCATCCCTTACAAGTACGTCGTTGGGCACGACAAGGGCTCTGGGGAGTACGAGTTCATCTACAAGATCCCGCAGAAGAAGGGCGAGCACGTCAACCGCTGCCTGTGCATAAAATCTTCACTCCTGGGCGCAGGAGGTAAGCGCGCAGCTGCTTGGGTGCCAGGGCTGCGGGACGGCCTCGCTCTGCAGAGCGCGGACTCGCCCGGTCCGTGCAGGTCCTCTCCGCCCCTCGGCGTTCCATGACGGTTGGGTCATGTCTCTGGTCAGTCAGAGACACGTTGGCTCTCCCTTTAGCGCAGCGTGACTCACCGCTCACTTGCAGGAGGAAACGGGGAAGGATTTTTGATTACGAGAGAGGGGAGAAAATGCAGCTGGCGGAAGGGCTGGGTACAGGAAGGGCTGGGTGCGGGTACGGGGCAGCAGGGACGTGAGCAGGTCACAGGCATTCCAAAGCCGCATCCCAGGCTCCTGCCGCCTGTCGCCCTGCGCACCTTTTGCTCACCCGTCCACCTGCTGGTGCCCACTTGGGGGCTTCCCCTCCCGGTGGGGAGCACTGGAGCAGCGCCCTCTGGGGTCCCCACACCTCACTCCTGTCCTCCCTCCCGGTGCTCCGCCTGCACACTCTGCTTGTCTTGCTCGACCCTGACTCCCAGCCCTGCCCCGCGCAGAGTCCTGGGGACACTCAGGGCTCCCTCGCCTGTTCCCGCCCCGCAGCGACCTTCGTTGACCTTCGTTGCCTGGTGTGCAGTGTCTTGTAAACAGATGTCTTGTTTGTTTTGTTCGGTTGTTTAGGGCAGACACAGAAGAGTGTAAATCTAGTCCCTATTATTCTACCTTGGACAAAGACAGAGTCCCAGTAACTCTTTACAGTACACCTTTCTCTTTTCTTGCGAGTGTGGTTTCGACCGCTAGACAGTGCACTCTGAGAAGTTAAGCTTTGAGAAAATAGGCATTCGTCTGATGACCCCCTAAATAAACACGGAATTCCTAATGTGATAAACGCCACCTGGATGCCCCAGTGAAAGGGACGCGTGGTGGGGATTTGGCCTGGAGGTCAGGAGAAGCTTGCTGGGAGGTGAGGACTGAGCCACGGCTACACAGTCACGAGTCTGGCGGGGCGGGGCGGGCGGGCCTGCCGGGGAACCCGCCCTGGGGTGCAGCCGGCCAGGAGACCTTGGGAGGCCGTGCAGACGCTGGGCGCGCTGACTGACTTTCACCTGTGTGTGTTCATGCGGCCTCTGGCCATCTCTCCGTCCTCTTTTGCTGTCTAATTATTTTACATTTGACCTCATCTGGTACCGCAGGACCACACGCATACCCTGTGCACCTGGTCCTAAGCGCAGCCGTGAATTCAGGCCCCCCCCTGTGCCGGGTACCCCGCCAAGGGCCGACAGCACTGGCACCAACTGAGGAACCTAGCAGGGTGGTGCCCCATTGCTAGTGCGGGACGCAGTTGCGGTACAGCGTGCGGGACCTCCCGGTGATCGTGTTTAAGGAACTCAGTTACCAAGCTTGCTGAGCCACGGGGTTAGATCTGTCGTCATATTTTCAGGCCCACTCAATCCTGTGAGCTCGGGTTTCTCTCCCATCACGGTGGGGAGTCTGGGCTGTCTGTCCGCACCGGGTAGGGGCCAACCCCGGCGCGGCGTGTGGACGGCGTCAGTTTGCCGGGTCTTTGGTTTTCCTCCTTCCTTCCCCTCCTCTGGCCCACTCGCTCCCAGTTCTGCCCGTCACCATCAGCCCTCTAGGGCAGTGTCTGGGTCTCAAGGGTGTTCACCATCTTGGGTACAATACTTTTCTTTCTGTCCCTCTTAGAGTGGCATCAGTACGATGACATAATTTGTATGAGGCCTCCTGGGACGTTCCAGAGAGTCCTGAACCACATAACAGATATGACGAGGAGGTCGCTGGTGAAAGGGAAGCAGCGGGCCGCCACCGTGATGCTGGACAGCATCTTCAGCGTCCTCCAGACCTGGGATGCCATCAACTTAAACAGCTTCTTCACCCAGTTCCAGCAGTTTTACTCTGTCGTCCGAGCGCCTATGATCTACGAAGGACGGGCACAGCCATGGAGCGATTTGCACTATGGAGAGAAAGAGGTACCAGGCTTCCTCTGTGTCACCAGCCGCGTCACCTGACCTACTAGTGTCTGGATGACCCTGTGACCCCATGGGTCAGGGTGCAGGTGGGGGCAGGTCATCTTCTCTGTCCTTCCCTCCTAGTGCCACCTCCTGATCCCCCCTGCCCTCCCTGTGTCCCCCTCCCCCCCGCTGCACATCTGAGCCCCCGCCTTGGCCCCGAGTCCTCCATGGCCTTGGGGCAGAGTGGACAGAGGGTGGAACAGCTTCTCCCAGCGGGGCCGTGGTCTGGGTGGACTTGAGGCAGCCCTGGAGCCACTTCTCAGGTGACAAGTGAACCCCTGTGAGCATCGAGGTCCCCACCTGAGAGTCCCCTACAGGCCGGGGACTCTGGACCGCGCCTCTCTGCACTCCTGCGGCTCCCAGCGGTGCGGCTCCCCGGCGGTGGGGGTGTGTGAGCCGTCTGTGGAGCCCTCCCTGCCCCTTGGGGCCTCGGTCCCCTGGCCGCTGCTGTGGAGCTCACGGCAGTGACGGGCAGCTCTGACCGCCTGTGACCGAGTCAACGCCGTGGTTCACGCCTCTTCCTTTTCTCCTGGGACCAGGTGAAGAAGGACTTGTGGGAGTATTTGAAAAAGCAAATGGACCCATTTCTGGACGGGTCGGGGGACTCTCTGCCTGACGGCCGCCCGGTGAGGAGCAGACTGAGAATGGGCCTGGTCGTGCTTTTCTCGGTGGAAAAGTTCGGCTTGCCCATGTCAGAAGATGACCTGGACTTGCTGTGTCGCATGCTTGTCCCGGACGCCAGCTCACTGCACGATCTTCACGACGACCTCAGCCACATCCTCAGGACAGCTCAGAGGTATTGTGAATTTTTTTGTCAAGAGGTTTTACGGCCACTCGTAGGGATTTTATCTGATTGCAAAACACGTGCTGGACAGAATGGCTGGAAGCCCAGTGAGGAAGAAACAAAACCACCCCGGATTTTACCACTCGCTGTTGCCATTTCAGTGTTTCTTGCTCTAGCCTTTTCCTAGCACATGTATCATTTTAAACTTTATTAGATTCCACATGCTGTTGAATACCTGCTTTTCAGAAGCTCCGTGCTGTCTCACGCGAAGCCTCCGTGTGCGTGCATTTGGGGGTGTCGGGGCGCGACGCTTGCCGCAGGCGTCCGGCTCGAGGGCGTGGGCAGGAGTGGCGGGCGTCCTCCGCAGCCTCTGCCTGGAAGGTTTGCCGGAGACCCGGCGGTGGCCTTTGACCTGGTGGGGAGACCTCCTCGGACCCCCCGAGCCCTGATGGTCGCAGGGGCTGTTCACAGTGTTTTCTGTGGCTGTGCCACTTGGACCTGAGAGTAACATCAGGCAGGTTTTATTAGGACATCTGCCTCTTGGTGTGGCAGATTACAACACCCGGCTCCCCCTGTGCACTTAGAAAAGGAGGAGGAAGGTGGCGAGGGGCGTGCAAAGCCGCCCTCACGTGTCACAGCGCTGACAGGTACTCGCATTCCGTGACGTGAGGAAAGGCACCGGGCTTCGTCCGTGGGCTCGCCCCTCACGTTGAAAAAGTTGCTCTGTGTTTGGATTTACCGAGACCAGGTGGCCTGGACTCAGCTCCCAGCTCTGGCGCACGGCAGTCGGTTACGCAGCTCGCACCCCACTTCTCAGCCTCCTCGTGGGCGGCAATAGCCCACCGGGGCTTTGCCGTGGGGATCCAGGGGCCCACGAAGGGCCCGAGGCACCAGGGTGGGGGCCCAGTGGAGCGCGCAGGTGCTCGTGCGTGTGTGTGGGGTGCGCCCTTTCCCTGGGGACAGCGGAGCCAGTGGCCACCCTCGGCTCACGGTGGGGCCTCCGCTCCCCTTCTAGCTGGCGCCAGTACCTGGTGGCCCTGTGCCACTCGTGCGTCGACAAGCGGCTGTTCCGCTGGCTGGGCACGCTGCCCGTGCTGCACCACTGTGCGAAGCCGTCCCCTGGAGGGAAGGACACCGGGAGTCGGCCTGAGGACACCTGGGCAGCCCTCGAGGGACTCTCCTTCTCGCAGTTCCGGGAGAAAATGGCGTTCCGGTAAGTCGCGGCGCGGCACTGGCGGGTGCAGATTTGGGACTGACGCCCGCGCCGCGCTGCCCGGAGCCCCAGTGGGCTCCACGGTGACCTCCGTCCCGCTCCTGACGGCGCGTGTGACATCCGCTTCTTTTAGCATTTTAAATCCTAAAACTGTAAAGAATGACGCAAAGCTGACCTGCAGCCCTAGAGGTGACCGCCGTTGCTCTCACTGTGCATAGACATCCGGGCTTAGCACAGATGTGGGCTTGCGGGGGCTTCATGTGCTGGAAAGATGAGAAGGTGCCGTCAAGTGTCCGCCACTTAATGTTCTGTGACCTTTCCGTGTCCACACACACCTACATCGTTACCATGGCGACTGCTGAGGGCGCCATCTAAAGTCCGTGCCAACTGTCATTTAGCTGGTTCTCTGTTTTCGGGCATTTGGGCTGTTTCTGCAGCTTCGTTTAGTAATAATGTAACAAGCATCCATACGTTTTTGCTGTTCAATATTCCCTCGAGATAAACGCTCGCAGGTAGCACTGCTAGGTCGAAGGCTTTGCGCGCTGTCAGCCGCGCACCTTTGCTCGCCGAGAGGAGCCATGGCCCTGTTATAATCCCGGTCCCCGACCCCAGCTCGAGGACCTCAACCTTGATCACAAGGAAATGCTACTGGAAAAGGTCTCAGGGGAAACCTAGATGCATATTTAATTAACTTAGTGACTCGTACTTATTTAAAATCATGTTATAGGCCGGGCGCGGTGGCTCACGCCTGTCATCCTAGCTCTCTGGGAGGCCGAGGCGGGTGGATTGCTCGAAGTCAGGAGTTTGAAACCCGTCTGAGCAAGAGTGAGACCCCATCTCTACTATAAATAGAAACAAATTAATTGGCCAACTAATATATATAGAAAAAATTCTGCATGGTGGGACTACATAGTGCCTGTAGTCCCAGCTACTGGAGAGGCTGAGGCAGGAGGATCGCTTGAGCCCAGGAGTTTGAGGTTGCTGTGAGCTAGGCTGACGCCACGGCACTCACTCTAGCCCAGGCAACAAAGTGAGACTCTGTCTCAAAAAAAAAAATTAAAAAAAATAAAATCATGTTATAAATCATTATTAAATTATATTATAATATATTGATTTAGATAATTTTTTCTCTGACATTTCACCAATTTCAAGCTCTTTGCCAGTTGAGGTGTTTCAAGTCAATGTGATTGTCTTATCCAAACAGTAATAGTCTATCCAACAACATTGAAAATAACGAGCACCTTTTTAAAGGCTGGAGTTAGAGGTCACTCCTCCGTCTGCAGGATGATTGGGGAGAAGCCCTGGACCAATTGGAGATACGATGTGAATCCATCCTCTGCGGGCCATGCACGTCCCATTAAAAACTGCACTGTCGCACTCCCAACCAAGTACCAATGACAGGCTTAGTAGAAACAGAAAAAAAAAAATCCTAAAATTGGTATGGATCCACAAACTGCTCCCTTTTATTTATTTTATTTTTTTTTGAGACAGAGTCTCACTCTGTTGCCTGGGCTAGAGTGCCATGGCGTCAGCCTAGCTCACAGCAACCTCAAACTCCTGGGCTCAAGCGATCCTCCTGCCTCAGCCTCCCAAGTAGCTGGGACTACAGGCATCGCACCATGCCCAGCTAATTTTTTCCATATATTTTTAGTTGGCCAATTAATTTCTTTGTATTTTTTGGTAGAGACGGGGTCTCACTCTTGCTCTGGATGGTTTCAACCTCCTGACCTTGAGCGATTCGCTGGCCTCGGCCTCCCAGAGTGCTAGGATTACAGGCGCGAGCCAGCATGCCCCGCCAATTGCCAGCTTTTGGAGCCCCAGCACAGTTCCATAGAATCAGAGTCACCTAAGATCCTTCGCTGAGCTCACCCGGATTGTTCGATCCTGGAAACTCATGAATAATTCATCAGAAGGCCTAATTCTTGCTGAACCCTTTTTTGTGTTGTGGTGAAACAGACATGACGTAGAATTCTCCGTGTTGACCACTGTTGCGTGCACAGCGTCCTGCGTTAAGGACGTCCACATCGCTGTGCGGGTGTCACCACCATCCCGCTCCAGAACTTTCTCATCCTCCCAAACCAAAACTCTGTCCCCATTAATCATTAGCCTCTCATTCCCTGTCCCCCTAGCCCTGGTCACTTCCCTTTTACCATCTGTCTCCAAATGCTCGACTTCTCTGGGGACTTTGCACGGGTGGGACCAGCAGTATCTGTCCTTCCGTGCCTGGCCCTTGCCACTCAGCACAATGCTGCCGAGGTTCATCCATTTCCGTGAATTCTTAATATGCTGCTGCTTACTTTCCATTCGATTCATTACTGATTTTTGTTTCCCATTAAGCATTTAAATCTTTTTTTTTTTTTTAGACAGAGTCCAACTCTGTTCCCTCAGCTAGAGTGCAGTGGTGTTACCATAGCTCCCTGTAGCCTCAAATTCCTGGGCTCAAACAGTCCTCCTGCCTCAGCCTCCCAAGTAGCTGGGACTACAGGTGTGCGTCCCCGTGCCTGGTTAATTTTTGTATTTTCAGTAGTGGTGGGGTCTCACTGTTACTCAGGCTGGTCTGGAACTCCTGGCCTCAGGCAATGCTCCGGCCTGGGCCTCCTAGAGTGCTGGGATTATAAGCATGAGCCACTGCACCTAGCCCATTTAAATCATTTTTGAAATCTGGACTTCTTAGACGCCCCAGCACTATTTTCATTTGTCTTAACTCTGTTTTACTGCTCTCACTGCGTCCTATTTCTCTTATACAGGAGCGAACCACTTAAGTATGTGGTAGGGAAGAGGCATTTGCTGAAGGTAGACGAATATCTCTTCCGATCCTGGTTTAGCCTGCTGCCTCTGAGTGACTTGGCTCAGTATATGGAGAACTTCGTTGAATACCTGGGCCATTTTCCTGCTGGTGTCCTGGACTGTCTTCTGGGGACTTACTACCGGCTGGGAGGACTTTCGAAAATCTCTTACCAAAATCTGGAGGTCTGTTGTCTCTTTAGTCCTTACTTAGCAAAAGCAGATTGAAAACTACGCATTGAAGGCTCTCGATTTTCCTTTTGTGGAAAACAGACACAGTGAAGCACCAAGAAATGAGAGAGTCCAGAGAAGTCATTATTTATTAGGGCTCAAGGTTGATTTCCTCATTTTAAATCTTGAGTTTTATTTGTGAGAGATGCAAGATTAGTATATGAGCATGGTAAAATCTGTAAGAAGGAAAGCATTTATATCTTATGTACGTTGGATTTTTTCCAGCTCCATTTTTAGCAATGACAGTGGTGTCGTGATTAATCTTCTTTCCTGTTTTTCTTTTCTTCACCACCCTAGGATGTTGATAGCATTTTAAAGATGCTGTTGCACCTCTTGGGCGCTTACCACCACAAGTAAGTAGGAAAGCAGAGCGCAGCCTCTCTCGGGCCCCAGGCTCTCCCTGTCACTGCCCCGGCTGGCGAACCCATGGGGAAGGTGACAGCACTTGGCCGGCTTCTCCCTTCAGGCCATCAGCACGGTCATCCGAGTCCTTTCAGCACTTCAGTACGGCGCTCAGCGGTTCAGCCGGCACTTATAGAATCCGCTTTGCTCTCGTGTGATGAGGAAAGCTTGAAAGCACTGGAAGCTTGTTTTACTTTACAGGCAGCTTTACTTGCAATGTAAATCAGAATAGGTAACATAGACATGTATGTTTTCATTACGCTATTTTTAAATGTTCACAATTTTATTTTGATAAATGAAAAATTAGAAAAGTCAATTCAATAAAAGTTGACGCTCAGCTGTGCGCCTTCATATCACGGCTGTTGGCTACAGTCCATGTTCGGCTGTGCGCATTCATCTGTGGCTGTCGACTGTAGTTGACGCTCGTACCGAAGTGGTTGAAGGGATGCGATAGATGTCAGCTGCTAAGATTTCCGTTTATTTCCACCCGCCCTTTTCCCCTTTACATTTATCCACGTATTTTTAAGCGATCATCATATTTGTGTTTGTGTGCTGCATTTCTTTAACATTTAGCCTTTAGATGTTTTTTGCAAAACACGTAAAGCTGAAAATAAGCACCCAAGGTAGCTTCACGTAATTATCAGAAGTCATTTGCGTATGCAAGTGTGTGTGCTCTGACGCCCTGTGGCGCGAGTGTGCGGAATGCAGGACAGCAGAAACGTCCCAGGGAGCGACGCATGTTCTGACTCTCAGGGCACTTCCAGCGTTCGCTCACCGGGGCTCCCGGGTGATCAGGAGGCAGGCGGCAGCACCGTGTCTCCATCCGTGGCGAGCACCTGTGACTGCAGGGCCCCAGCACTGTGTCCCAGAGTCACCCAGCGAGTCCTTTCTCATGGCGCCCCCAATCTGCCTTCTCACCCACCCGCCGCCTCCCAGCTCTGCCCCGGGAGTCAGGAGCACGGGCCCGGTCCGCAGAGTCGGGTCGGTGGGGACGCCACACGCACCGCGTGCTCTCCTGCCACTCCCTTCCGTCTCCCCCTTTCCCGTTTTCTTTATCAACATTTTAAACAATTTATGTAGTATTTTAACATTTAGTAATATGTGTCCCTTGCTTATTTTCAAATAAGGGAATGCACTTAGAAATATTTTAACTTGCTTTTGTTAGAACAGTTGAGACTACAGAGGCAAAACAAAAGGGCTTTGTTTCCATTTTATCGTAGTCACTTCTTAAAGACCGATGGAAAAATTGTCCGGGTGCTAGCCGAGATGAGGTCGAATAAAGGCCTCGCAGTTAGTTATCTTAAAGGGAAGGGACTGGGTTGCCACACTGGGTACCGTCCTCTCGTTTCTCCTCAACGATTGCAGTGCTTTCTCTCCACTCCTTCCGGGGCAGCATTCCCGAGGAGACCTTGTCACAGTCCTACCCGGCCGTGTGCCTGAAGCTGCACGAGGCCGTCTGCGGCGTCACCAATACCGTGGACTTTTATGAGATTCCCGCCTTGTCGGCCGAGATCGTCCGCACTGTTGTCGCTCTTCAGCCCGCCGTGGTGAGTGGGGTGGACGCACCCGCGTCCTGCCCAGGGTCGGTGTGGAATTTAAGCAGCCTCGATTACAAAGGGACCGGACTCAGTTCTCGCATGGCTGGACCGAGAGTGAAATACGGGTCGGGCACCCACGCGACGCAGGCCCGGTCCCGGGCGCTGAGGGTGTCTCGGGTGCGCTCTGCCTCCTGCGCTCCCGCGAGAGGGAGGGAGGAAGGGAGTTCCTGTGTGGCCCTCCGATGGCCCCCGGAGGTGGAAGAGCTGTTCAGGCCAGGCCTTGCCTGCACGGCGACCTTGCTCTTTCCTGGGCTGCGTTGTCCACTGTGGACCATGGGGATCACATTCTTCCCAGACACGCACGGGAAGCACGGTCCTTCCCACGCGTGCGTGCGTCTTTTTGTTATAACTGGAATGCAGCAGCCTGGCACACAAGGCCACCCGTGTGTCCTCAGGCACACGCCCGCGCCAGGCCTGGCCCTGGCCCCAGGAGGACCCTGCTCCTCTGTGCCCCCGTCCCCGTCACTGAGGAGCAGGGCCCAGGGTGTCTGCCCGCAAGCTTGTCTGGGCTTCCCTGGGGTGCTCTTGCTCACCCGCTCTGCCCCCTAAGGTCAAGGCCTGGGGGTCCGCCTGGGCTCTCCTTGCCGGGGGACGTTAGCGCCATTCCTTCTCCCCTGCTTTTCTCCCGTGTCTCCCTGTCGGGGTGAACCTAGCAAGCACTGGGGAAACGAATGTGCTTTTGCAAGGTAGGCGTCGGGCCAGGCCCGTGTGCCCCTGGCGCGTGGCTGCGCCCCCAGCACCCACCGAGAACGCCAGGGGAGCAGCAGGGTGGGGCCTCGAGGAGACTCTCCGCGCCCCTGCGCGGCGGGACACTCAGCCCCTCTCTTGTGTGATGACAGGACTCAGGAGGATGTGGGAAGGAAGCCGGGAAGAGTTCGGTTCCGACACTCTCCCAGGGGACTCTGGCTACTACTAGAGCTTGGCTCCACAGAATTCTTAAGAAGAACATGTTCCAGGAGACACATTCATCTGTCTCACTCACTTATTCCAAGGAAATCCAGGTAGGCCCTGCTGATGGCTTTTGGGTAGGGACGTGGTTCATCACAAATTTGTGGAGAGTTGTGGCCACGGGCTGGCGGCCAGGCACCCGCTGTGAGCCTGCACGTGTGAAGTGGCGGCTCTGCTGTCCCTGGCAGGTCCTTCCTGGGCAGACAGGAGACACCAGGTGTGAATGCTGCCGCCCAGCACCCGGGCTGGGCCGTGCTCCCTGGGGTGGCGAGGGCGCCCCGCGTAGGGAAAGGTGCTCCGTGGCCGTGGCGTGCAGGGCAGCACCTGGGCGCACCTCAGTACCGAGGTGATAGGTCAGGTTGTGACCTCGGAAGTGGAAGGAAAGGTGACAGGAAGAGCAGTTTGCGGGGATACGGCAAGACTGGGTCTGAATCCGGGGAAAAGAGAATCCGGCCAAGTTGGTGGGGAGTGGTGAGGGTTCCACCGAGAGACGTGCCGGGCAGAATCTCGGGCACAGGCGGGTAGCAGTGAGGACGCAGAAGCTGCTGGATTTGGAAATTGGTCGCCCGTGACCCTGTGAGCTAGGCCGGCAGCACGCTCTCAGCCTGGAGGAAATGCCCTTGGTGAGGAGGACCGAAGGGGAGAGAGGGGAGAGAGCGCCGCTGTGTTACAGCCACAACTTGGGACTGCGGTCCATATGGGTGTCGTTGTGCTGTTCTTACAACCCCTTTGAAAGTTGGAAATTTTTCAAAATAAAATGTTGGAAGCAAACGCTTCCAGAATAAAAAGCAGTGACGCAGCAGGAAGGCCGGGGACATGCACGGGTGCGTCGGGGCCCCGGCTCTAGAAGGCCGAGCTGAGCCGCCACTGGGACTTGCCACTAGCACAGCTGGCTGGTGGCCAAGGTGGGGCCCGGGTGTCCCTGCAGCCCTGCTCGCTGTCTCATCGCGATGGTGTGTCTTTCTCTTGTTGCCCGTGAAGGCCCACACTGTGGCCTTCAGTCGTCACAGCGGCTGTGACTTGTGTGCGGGTTTTGCAGGTCTGGCGGCGGCTGGTGGAAATAGACTTCCCCGCGGAGCACGGTTGGAAGGAGTCATTGCTGGGAGACTTGGAAGGGCGGCTCAAACAGGTACCAAGGTTGGGGGACGTTCCTTTCAGGGAGGGAAGGAAGGGTGGAAGCCACCAGACCACTGGCGACAACCAGCGCCAGGAGCGGCCTGTCTGAGCGCACGGCCTCTCCGTGCGCAGGGCGCGGGATGGATCTCGACTCCAAGTCTCTGTTTCTGACCCAGAAGGCTGGCGCACAGCTCTGCTGTGACGTTGCAGAGAGTAATGCGGGCACAGCATCTGGCCATCATGGGTCCCCCAGGCACACGCGGGGTCCAGCCCGCCCACAGGCAGCGGCTCCGGTGGCCTGTGGCTGTCAGGAGCCTCCCAACACAGGGACAAGTGGACAAAGCATGGACATGGCCTTCATTTGAGCTAAGGCCTGCGACCCTAGGAAATGAGTTTTTACAGGAGAGTTTTATGTCTAACTGTTCAGTGGATCCTTTTAAGGAAAAATGAATTATTTCTCACAGTCTGCCTGTTTTTGTGAGCTGCTGTGCCGAGTTCTTTTTCTCTGGAGTTGGAAAAGAGACTCTCCTTTTAAGTTTAGCCTTGCTGGTCCGACGGCGGGAGGTGGGGGGACGTGCTTGGTGCGGGGCAGGAGGTTGGAATCGTGGGAACTGGCAGAGTGGCGGGAAAGCGAAAACACCCGGCGCTTCCCGTGGGTGTCAGAGCGCGGCGTGCAAGCGCTAACCCGCCTCCCATTTGCGCAGGAGAGGCCCCTCTTGCAGATCCGGGCCTACTGCAGCTCCCGCTGGGACTCCGCGGGCTCCGAGGACGCTGTGGCCAAGACCTTTGAGAAGTGTGTCATTGAAGCCGTGAGCTCAGCCTGCCAGGTGACCAGCGTCTGCTTCCTGGGAACCGGGGTCCACGGCCATCCTGCGCTGGTGGGACTGGGAACGGGAGTGGGCGTGCCCTCCGCTCGCCTGGGGGAGGGGCCGAGACCCCTCGTCTCCCCGGCTCCCTGGAACGCCACTCAGCTTCCGCTGCTGGATGGCTGTCGGGTGCCATGCGCAGTCACGGCCACTCTCACGTGACATCGAGTCACATGGTCTTGCAGGGGACTCCTGAAATGTCCCTGTTGGTATCGTGGCTACTGGTTTGTGTTATTGTCTGCTAACACTTGCCTAGCAAATACGCAGTAAAACGCTCCAAAGGTCGAGCAAACATTTATGGAAGGCAAACGTGTGGAGCTGAAACGTTTCTATCAATTTACTTAGTTTTTTCCCGCAAAGTGGGAAGAGATTCCACCCCACCGCCTGGAAGGCACAGTGTCCCGTGCGGTCCCGCGTGGCGGAGCCTCCCGCAGCTCCCGCTCTTGCTGGAGTCTCCTAACTGGACACCTCGAGCCCCGCTCCCTCGCTGGCTTCAGGGCAGGGGTGGAGGTCACTGTGAGGTCATTGTAAGGTCCTTGTCTTGTGGTGACTAATAATTTTCCTTTTTTGCTAAACACTTACTGAGATATCAGCACATACCAGACAATTCCCCCACCGAAAACTGAAATTCAACCAGTGCTGGTGTATTCGCAGGCAGGTGCAGCTGTCTCCACAGTTTCAGAACGTTTTCATCACCTCAGAGAGAAACCCCGTCCTCTCTAGCTGTCACCCTCTACCCCTCCCGGCCCCAGGCCTCCGCAGCCGCCAGTCTACTTCCTGTCTCCGTAGCTTTCTTTACTGTGGGTCGTCATATGAATGCAATCACGGCGTACCTGGCCTTTCGTGTGTGGATTATTTCCCTGAGCATGACGTTTTGTCTCTGTCCTTGCTGTGGCCTGTGTCAGTACAGGTTGAGTATCCCTTCTGCAAAACGCTTGGGACCAGAAGTGTTTAGGATTTGGGATGTTTTTCAATTTTGGAATATTTGCATATACATAATCAGATATTGAGGCAAATTCTGTGCAAGAAACAAAGTTTGTGTTAAGTACTTATGTGTGGACATTTTCCACTTGTAGCATCATGTCATTGCTCAAAAATTTCGGGATTGGGCCGGGCATGGTAGCTCACACCTGTCATCTCAGCACTCTGGGAGGCTGAGGCAGGAGTTCACTTGAGCCCGGGAGTTAGAGGTTGCTGGGAGTGAGGCTGACGCCACGGCGCTGCACCCAGGGCAACAGAGTGAGGCTTCGTCTCAAAAAAAACCAAAAAAAAAAACCAAAAAAATAGTTTGGGATTATGGAGCATTTTGGATTTTCAATTTTCAGAGTAGGTATGCACAACCTGAATGTCATTTCTTTTCCTGGCTGAGTAATATTGCGCTGTGTGGCTACACCATATTTTGTTTATCCATTTGTCCACTCGTGAACGCATCTGGGTTGTTTCTACCTTTTGGCTCTCGCAACTGTGCTCCTGTAAGTGTTAGTGTCCGAGTTTATAAGTGGACAGATGTGCTCGTTTCTCTTGGGTATAGACCTAGGAGTGGAATTGCTGACCATATGGCAAGTCCGCGTGTAGTTGATTGAACAACTGTCAGACTGAGTTCCAAAGCTGCTGGCCCACTTGCGTTCTCACCAGCAGTGCGCCAGGGTTCCACAATCCCACCAACATGTGTTCTTTAACTTTATGGTTCTGGCCCTCCTAGTGGTGTGAAGTGGTATCTCGTAGTTTTTATTTGCATTTCTCTGATGACTAATATCAAGCATCTTTTCACATGCTTATTCCATATTTCTATATCGTTTTTGTTCTTTTTTCTTCTAAACAGCTGAATTTAAGATTCATTGTATCTTCTTTGGAGAAGTGTCTGTCTATTCAGGTTTTTTGCCCATTTTTAAAATTGGGTTATTTGTCTTTATTATTCAGTTGTAAGTGTCTTTTTATATTCCGTCTACAAGTCCCTTGTCAGATATATGATTTGCAAGCATTTTTCTCCCATTTTATGAGTTGTTTATTCACTTTCTCGAAGGTGTCTTTGGAAGCACAGAAATCTTTCATTCTGATGAAGTCCAATATATCTATTTTTCTTTTTTTGCTCATACTTTTGGTATTAAGGAATCCTTTGCCAAATCCTAGGTCATGAAGTTTTATAGTTTTAGCTCTTACATTTAGGCCTTTGATCTGTTTTGAGTTACTTTTGTATATGATATAAAGTAAGGGTCAAATTTCATTCTTTTGCATGTGGATATCCAGGTGTGCCGGCACCATTGCTGAAGGAACTATATTTTCTCCATCTAATGGTCTTGCCACTCTTGTCCATAAGCTGTTGACCATATGTGTGGGTTTATTTCTAGACTCTTGATTCTGTTTGTTGATCTATAGGCCTGTCCTTATGCCACTACCCTATTGTTTTGACTGCTGTTGCTTTCTAATAAGTTTTGAAATTATGTAGTGTTGAGTCCTCTTACTTTGTTTTTCTTTCTCAAGGTTGTTTTGGCTATCCTGGGTCCCTTGCCATTCTGTAAGAATTTTAGAATCAGCTTGTCAATTTCTATCTGGCAGTCAGCAGGGATTCTGATAGGGAGGTCCCTGAAAGTATAGGTTGGATTGGGAAACATTGCTATCTTAACAGTGTTGTCTTGGGAACTATGAACATGGGATACTTTTTCATTTATTTAGATCTTTTAATTTCTTTCATCAGTGTTTTATAGTTTTCAGAGTTTAAATTTTTCACTTCCATTGTTACATTTATATCTAAGTACTTTATTTTTTGGATGTGCTTGTAACTAGAATTGTTTTCATAATTTCATCTTTGGATTATTGATTGGTAGTGTGTAGTAATACAGCTACTCCTTGTACCTCGTATCCTGTAACTTTGCTGAGCTCATTCACTAGTTCTAATAGTGTGCATGTGAGAGACAGAGATCATGCCATCTACTAATAGAGAGGGTTTTGCTTCATCCATTCCAATCTGAATGCCTTTTATTTCTCTTGCCTAATTGTCCTGGTTAGAACCTCCAGTACAATGTTGATTAGAAGTGGCAAAATTGGGCATCCTTGTCTTGCTCCTGAATTTAGGGGGACAGCTTTCTATCTTCCACCACTAGGTATGTATGATGTTATCTGGGGCTTGTTCGAGGATGCCTCTTATCAGGTTGAGGAAGTTCCTTTCCATTCCTAGTTTGTTGAGTGTTTTTTATGACAAAGGGTAGTTAGATTTTGTCAAATGGTTTTTCTGTGTCTAATGAAGTGATCATGTGATTTTCTTCTATTGACATTAACTGATATTTGATGTTAAATCAACTTTCCGTTCTTGGGATAAATTCTACTCGGTCATGGTGTATAATTCTTTTTTTATATGTTTCTGGATAAGGTTTTCCTTTATTCTTTTCAATGTCAGGAAGTATCTATTGTAAATTCACCCTGTGTTTTTGGCTAATTACTGAAACTTTGCCAAACTTTGAACCTAAAAGAGAAAAACATTTTCTTTCTTGGTGGAGAATTAGAAAGGGAATTAAAATGTATATGTTGTTTGTAGGCAGTTTTTAAAAAGCATTACAGTTCAGGAATATAAAATATATGATGTATTAAAGGTTTAATCATTTTTGGTATTTTTCATGACATGAAACTCCAGGAAAAATGTAGCAGCTGGCCAGAAATGTTGAAAATATGTGTTGGAAGGAAGGAATGTGATTTGTGGGTTGTACTGGTGTGGGCTTGTGTATGCTGATCTCAAGGAGACAGTACGCAGGGAAATGAAGAAACATTAAATATCTTAAGAAACATTAAGTATCTTAAGTATCTAAGAAATGTTAAGGATCTTACTGCTGTACTTTTTTGAGGCCTTGGAATACAGTTATGATGCATTTCTGAAATGCTCCTGGAGGGCAATTTACTTCTATCATCTATAATCAAACCAATAAAAAAACTTCTAAATTTCCCTCTTATTTTCTTACAGTCACAGACGAGTATCCTTGAGGGAGTCTCTTACCACGATTTGCAGAAATTCGGCACCCTTGTGTCGGCCGTGATCACCAAGTCCTGGCCTAGAGACAGAGGGGAGGCCGTGGATGACCTGGATGAAATTTTTAAGCACCTGCTCACGTGGCCGGATGTGAAGCATCTTTTCAGACTGTGTGGTATGCTTTGGTGGGCGACAGGGGTGCTGGGAACGTCAGCTCGGTGTAGCCGGTGTCCTCCGGAACTTGGGGAGCAACAGGGAGCAGAGTATTTGAGCCGATACTCAGCGGGGATGGGCTGACGTTTGATAAAGGGAGCAGACTGGACAGAGATCCAGGAAGGCTCCGATGTCTTGCACTGTAAAGAATAGCTCATACTAAAGCCACCACTTGCTGAATGCCTACTGTATACCAACAACTGTGCTGACACAGTGTCCTTGAGCTAGTGCTTTCTAAATGGCCTTTTTAAGGCCCCCGATTTTCAGAGGAGGAAACAGAAGTGGAGAATGCAATGGGAGTTACCCAGGGTCTCAAAGATTGTAAATATTAGAACTATTAATATTATAACATCCAACCCCAAGTGTGTCTTGCTCTCAAGCCATTCTCTGTTATGCGGAGACGAGTGAAGAACGTCCAGCCCAGTACTGATGACCGGGACAGACAGTGAAGTGCTGCACTGTCTGATTCGTTCACCCTGCCCCTCGCTCCAAGTATGTTGTGATCCCAGAGGGAGAGAGACATACCGGCCTGAAAGTGTTATAATCAAGTTTACGAGTAAGACATTAGATTCAGATCCTTTAGTGGGAAAGCACTGAGTTTGGAACTAAAACTCCCAAGTTAGATGATTGTGAGTCCCAGTTCCATCAGATAACTGGGACAGCCAAACAAACAAACAAACAAAAAACCTAAGCACCTTACATGTTAAGGTAGTTGTAGGGATACAATATTTATAAGATGGTTGAGGTGGGAGAGCACTACACATTAGTGAAAGCTACTCACTTCAAAAGATTATATTTGTGTTGTTTTGTTTTGTTTTGTTTTGTTTTGAGACAGAGTCTTGCTTTGTTACCCAGGCTATAGTGAGTGCCGTGGCATCAACCTAGCTCACAGCAACCTCAAACTCCTGGGCTCAAGCTGTCCTCCTGCCTCAGCCTCCCGAGTAGCTGGGACTACAGGCATGCGCCACCATGCCCGGCTAATTTTTTCTATATATATTAGTTGGCCAGTTCATTTTTTTCTATTTATAGTAGAGATGGGGTCTCACTCTTGCTCAGGCTGGTTTCGAACTCCTGACCTCGAGCAATGCGCCCGCCTTGGCCTCCCAGAGTGGTAGGATTACAGACGAGAGCCACTGTGCCCGGCCTGTTTTTTTTTTTGAGACACAGTCTCACTCTGTTGCCCAGGCTAAAGTGAGTGTGGTGGCGTCAGCCTAGCTCACAGCAACCTCAGACTCCTGGGCTCAAGCGATCCTCCTGCCTCAGCCTCCCGAGTAGTTTGCTTATCAACTCATCCACTGAAGGACATCTTAGTTGCTTGCAAGTTTTTGCAATTAAGAATAAAGCTTGTATATTTGTTTTTAACAGTAGAGATGAGCTTAGTCTTCTCCTGATACTTTATGACTCTAATTACTGGGAAAGAAATATTCTGGTGTTTAAACATGTTTAAATATTCTGCCCTCTAAATTGATCCTAAATTTCACATTACAAGCTTTGCAAGACAGCTAAGATGTGCAGAGTGTTAAATTGTCATACTGATGTTTTTCTCTCTATATAAATGCTATGAAAATGTCCCTTAAAACCAGCTTGTTGGTCTTTGCCGGGTGCGACTGCATCCTGGTGCAGCGTGCCCTGCTGCTGCAGCTGTGCTCACAGTGGGGGTCTGAAAGGTCATGTGCAGTCTAAGAAACACATTCAGGGTACTGAAGGGGGCACAGGTTTAAAAAACCCAAGACAGGTGGTTCTCCTGGCTGCTTCCCATCGGGAAGCTCTGTGAACAAGGAGGTCGTTCAGGAGATGAGTTTGGGTAGGACCCGACCCTCACGGGTGGAAGGGGAATCGGGGAAGTGAGGAGCACACATGCAGGTTCTGCCGGACTCTCGCTTGTGTCGTGTAGACGCTGGGGCAAAGCAGCGAGAGCTTATTGGGAGTTCCCTCGTCAACAACCTCGGGGTGGGAGGTGGGAAGCCCGCTGTTCCGACTGTGTTCTTCATCCGATCAGGAACTGATGAGAAAATATTAGCAAATATCACAGACGAAGGCAAGAAGCTGATGGCCACTGCTGACTCTGTGTTGACAAAAGTTGCTGGTGACCTGCTAAACAGGACGGTCCTTGTCGGGCAGCTGGAGCTGATAATGAAGCACAAGAATCAGTTTCTTGACATCTGGCAACTAAGTGAGTACCAATTTGAGGATGCACTTCAGGCTGCTGAGGAATTACAGGGAAAGGAAGTGTTCGTGTCTGCCTGTGCGTTTTTGCAAAGAGGGGACTTTTCAGCCTTATAACCAGTAGCACTTGCCAGCAGGTTGATCGGGGCTGGAGTGTAATTCTCAGGGAGGTCACGGGAAAGGGGTGCAACGATGGGAAGCTCAGAGCTCAGCGCTGTGTCTCTTCCACGCCGCTGAGCGCGGCCTGGCGCGCTGACGGCTGCCCGCGGAGGGGAGCGCGGGCACGGCCGCCTGGAAACCGTGTTGATCCGGTCTGTTGGGTTACTTGGTTGTTGTTGTTTTCCAGAGGAAAAATGTCTTTCATCCCAGGAGAAATTAGCTGATATGAAGAAAGTGCTGGATTGGAGAAAGGAAGAACTAGATTTTCTAAAGAAGGAGGAAAGTTACGTTGACGGCCTGCTGAACCTGTGCGAGAGTGTGAAGCACCTGGTGCCAGGTGGAGTCTTAAGAATCCAAGTAAACGAAAGCGGGTGGTCTCTAAGGGCACAGGGTTAGAGGAGAATACCATGGAATCACCATAGCGCACCTTTATTTTGGGGTGAAGGCTTCGTACAAAAATTTTTAACAAAGTTGCATGTGCATTTGCCAGAGGTATCAGTTTCACCTATTCTGGTACTTACCTGCACGTCTCTCAATAACATGCATGATTCTCTGGATTCTTCAGTGTCAGCATCTTATCAACGTCCCAGTGTGGACGATGAGGGCTTAGATCTCTGCGTGTCCCGTCTTTGCCCTGCACACGTAGCCTTTGCCTCTCCCCTTACTCCCTGCTATGTTGTGATTTAAGCTGGATCAAGATTTAGGGTTTAAGTCATCCTCACTGTCTAAACATGCTGTTCACAAGTGAGCCATGAAATAGATGGAAATGATCCTTTTATTAATGCATTTCTTGCACAAACTGTTGTCCATACAATTATATTTCTTGTCATTTGCTTTGTGTTCATTGTATTTATTTCTAATTCAATCGCAAACTCCACCAACTGTCTGAATTTCCTGTGAAGACAGTCTGGTCTTTGAGAAGGAATCTGCGAGAGCTGGCCTGGAGATGCCGTCCTGACGTCTTCCTTCACCTTCCGGCATCCCCTCTGCCTCTCTCCGGGGTTCAGCCTGTTCCTGTCTCCTTTGCTTGCTCTCTGCTGGCTGTGTTTTGGTAGAACATGTCCTCTGTCACCTTCCTGAGTCCTTGTGTTCCTAAGGATGCCCTCATCCTAGGTCAGTTGTCTGTGTGTAGACTGCAGAGCGGAAATCATCCTCCTTCGGAACTTGAGCGTGTCGGTCCGTTGTTGTCTCTGCAGTGTTGCTGCTGGGAGTCTGACGCGATACTAACTCCCGACCCTTCGCGTGTGAGATATCTTCCTCTCTCTGGAAGCTCCTGAGACCTTTCTGTCCCTAATAGTCCCAAATTTTGTTACGTGCCTTGGCATGGATCTATTTTTCACCTACTCTACTGGGCATTAGTAGGTAGGTCTTTCTAATGTAGAAATCTAGGTCCTTGAGTTCTGGGACAGTCTCTTGAATTATTTATTTTTTTCTCTTGCTGAGATTCATAGTGGACATCGGACCTCCCGGAAGGGTCGTCTAACATTCATCATTTTTCTCTGCTATTTCCCGCCTCTGCTTTTTGCTCTGCTTCCTGAGAGATTTCCTGAGAACTTGGTCTTCCAAGCTGTCCATTCAATTTCTTATTTAAGCTCTCATGTATATATTTAATTTAAAGGAATTCTTTTTTTTTCCTCTGAATTGTCCTTTTTAAACATTATGCTGCTCCTGTTCAGGGTTGCAATAGCTTCTCTATCTGAGATTACTGGCGTTTTGCTTTAGAGATTTTCTTTTTCTTTCCCTTGCATGGTTTCCTATTTCCTCTGGGTGGTTTCAATCTATTGGTTTGTTTTGACTTTCTACTTATGTCTGGAATTGTCTGTTTTTATGAATAGACAGCCCTGACACGTGGGTTGGGCCCTGCGGGCCTGAGCCGGCCGTCTGGACTCTGTGCCGCCCCAGGGCCCGAGGCTCGGCCTTTCAACTGCTGTGTCTGGAGGCCCCTCTCTTGGGCCGGTCAGATTTCCAGTCTCCTGCCGGTGCCAGGTTTCTGGGAACCAGGAGGGAGAAGAGGGCTGGCGAGGCCTTGGCCC